CCGTTTGCACCGTTTCTGCAATAAACGTTGTTTAACTAATCACTGTTTTAATTTTAATCAATGTTTAATTTGTAACCACTTGCACCGACAAAAACATAAAGCTGTTTAGGTAATCGGAGAATCTGCTAGGCAACACTGTAAAATATCTACTGTCACATGTGTTTACTGACTGTTTGTTAATCTTAAAGTTTATATTTGAGCTTAAAATCATCAACTTTGTTAAATTTACTAAATTTGGTTAATAATGGAAGCTCCGACCAAAAAAAGAAATCGATGCCCAACGTTTAGTGCGGATGAAAAGTTAATGATTGCCAATATTTGTGATTTTTCAGATTTGCATCACAAGTACCCTGAACATTTATAGAGAAATATCCCTTTCGGTTTCTAAAAACCTCCGGACCTTCTCCACCTGGAAAATGTATATTGACCTCATCAGGTATTATGCGAAACTACTTAAGTACCTGGTGATTGTATTTTGACATGCGTACCATCAACACAACCAATAACTATCTGCGCTTGAATTAATTTTTGGACCTGGCATTTTAACAAACTGTGGATACAGTCTACCAATAGCATGTGTAACCTTTGCAACTAACCGTGATGCTGTGGAGATATCCATGCCGATAAAATCAGCCACTGTACTTAAATGTCCAGCACTTGCATAAAACCTAAGCGCTGCTAACAACTGATCAATAGGTGCTACATTATTGTTTCTAAAAGTATAGTTTAGGATAACAAATGGGTAATTAGGTACTTAGTAGCTTCATACAAATTGTTATTATATTCGAGATCCATTTCGATTAATTGTAACAACTGCAGAACTGTATCTTTCGTCTAACGAAAGCGCTTAAAGAATGTTAAGTTATCCATCTCCCCGAAATGATTTTTCCTAGTATAAACTTTACGTGGGAATCTAAACTCTACTATATCCAATATGTCTAAATCATCTTCTATGAAAAATTCTTCAACAACATCCATAATTTATCAAAATTTATGACACCACAGAAAGAAAATCAAAATAAAGATACTGGTAGTATTTACTATAACCTACAAATTATGACATACTCGTACTAATCAGACCTTTAAACGCCCAAAATTGGACGTTTAGATTTAACATAGGTTACACCTTTCTAAACGTGGATTAATGTACGGTGCAAACCCTGTCTATTGCTAAACAGTGTTTACGACTTTAAACGATGTTTAGTAAAACGGTGCAAACGGCCATAAATCTTATAAATATCGTTACTAAGACAATAGAACTACCATTTCGATTTGATTGCTAGATATCATTTTAACTACCGAGCTTTTAAGAGCGGCAAACGAATTGTTTAAATAAGGAAATCATTGATTAAGAAAATATGTCGCATTATAAGCAAAATTTCCTTTAAATTTGTTTGTGTGATGCTGTGGAATCCTCTAATCCCCTTAATCCCCTAATTACTAAGGTTGTTTTCCCCATTTTGTTACCATAATAGCTATTTATATATCAAGTACATAAACTGGGTCTTTATGGACGAGTCGTAAAGATGGCGAGTCCATAAAGACGGTTTATGTACGCGGTATATACAAAGCTTTATGTACGATTGCAGCAATTACTCTTTAAAGAAGAAAATTTAATAATCGACAAAATCCATATATCATTGACAGAAGATGTCAAATATTTCGAAACTTAGTATCTAGTATTTTATGAAATATATGAAACGTTGAAAATGGTGATGGTATCAAAGGTTGCTGTTCTTGTTGCTAGGGTAACAACAGTTTGTTTAAAAATTTGTGCGTTTGTGAAAATTTTTGTAGTTGTGCAAAAATGGAAGAAATATCGCAATTGCATCCGCAGCGAAGGAAACTCTTCTTCCCTGCAAATGGAGAACGGTATATGAAGAAGCTTACAATGCATACAAGAAATGGTGCGTAAGGAGAAATGTAAAAAAAACCGTTGAAGATACAATTCTGGCTTACTTTACTACCGATCTCGCGTCGTATAAAGCATCAAGCTTATGGAGTAAATTCCATGCTAC